CTAGCCAAGCTTTTTGCTACTTATTTTGGAAAGGGAAGTCTCATGGACTTTGCTGGACTGGCTTTGAGCCTTTGTCTTCTGCATAAAGTAGCTGTGGGTTGCTAGGATCACAGGCATAACTATAGGTGCCTGGCTTTAAGAGTTTTTTATTTCCTCCCTCTAAAGCAAGAAACTACTGAATATCATTTGATACAACAATATTTCTAGTGTTTCAGAAAATACAAATTTGTGAATTCTTACAAATGTATGGAATCAAGTTTTTCTAAGAAGTTTAAATGTTTAAGTACATGATCTCACTATCTTAGAAACATGTTTTAATGTTATTTGTTAAGCTTACAAATTTATTTTTAGTTGTCAAGCTATGAGAGCCAGATTGCCAAGCTGCAGTCTGAGGTTGAAAAAGGAGAAGCATTACGACGAAGTCTGGAATATGATCTGGCTGTTGCTAGAAAGGAAGCTGGCCTTGAAAGATGAGCTGCTGAAGAGCAATTAGCTGAAGCCCACAGGATCCAAGAAAAACTTCGTGGTAAGAATATTGTTATTTCGGGGCTGGGAAGGTGGCTCAGTGGTAGAGCGCTTGCCTTGCATGCATGAGGCCCTGAGTTCGATTCCTTAGCACCACATAACCAGAAAAAAAAAGCCGGAAGTGGCGCTATGGCTCAAGTGGTAGAGCTGAAGAGCTGAGGGACAGCACTCAGTCCCAGAGTTCAGGCCCATGACCGGACCCCCCCTCACCCCCCAAAAAAAGAATATTGTTATTTGTTTTAATGTTTAGGGCTGTAACATTATTCTAGAGCATTGCTTGATGTGTATATTTGTGTAAGATCAAAGGGAGGGTTTGGTTCATTGACTGGCCTTTGATTGATGGACTTTGCTGAGTGTGTATAAAATCTGGCAATTCTGTGAATACTTACTTACTTTAGATTCTTTAAAAAAAATTTTTTATGATGTTGAGGATCCAATCCAGGGCCTTGTGTGTGCTACTTAAGTATTCATCCTCCTTCAAAATATATTTGAAGGGCTGGGAAGGTGGCTCGGTGGTGGAGCGCTTGCCTTGCATGCATGAGGCCGTGGTTTTGATTCCTCAGCACCATATAAGCAAAAAAGAAAAAAGCCACAAGTGGTACTGTGGCTCAAGTGGTAGAGCACTAGCCTTGAGCTGAAGATCTGAGGGACAGCGTCCAGGCCCAGAGTTCAGGCCCCACGACCTGACCAAAAAAAAAAAACAAAAAAAATGTATTTCAAAATTACTTCTGCTTCCTACTACTACCATTGTTAAAGAAGGTCTTCCAAGAGTACAAAGATACCCTGGATTCTAAGGCATATTGGAAAAGACTGGAGCAGATAAATTAGATCAGTCAAAGCATTGCAAAAGTACTTAGAAGGTACAAGAGACATACAAGTCTTCTCAGACACAGTCAAAAGATTAAACCTACAGATGTAGGGATAGATGAGGAAGAAGAAATAAAAACTAAAGGCTTTGAAAACCTATTCAACAAAATAATAGCAGAAAATGTTTGAGTATCATCCTTGTGCTGGAGGCCTACCATACTCCAAACAGGCAAGATTAGAAAAGAAATGCTCCTAGATACAGTATAGTAAGCTATCTAAATATACAGAATATCGAAAGTGTCAAAAGAGAGAAAACAAGTAACTTACTATCACAAGCTCATTGTAAAAACAGCAGATTTCTCAACACAGATAACTAAATGCAAGGAGGATTTGGAAAGACATTATTCCAGACCCAAAAGACAACTATCAACCCAGACTATTTTACATAGTGAAGCTATCCATAAAAATTGGTTGAGAAATAACAACATTCCACAATAAACAAAAACTACTGGAATTTATGGCTTCCAAACTAGCACCACAAAAGGTAGTTAGGGTAAAATTACCCGCAGAAGAAGCAAACATCACAAAAAAAACAAAATGCCAGGAAACATGGCATACTTCTCTCAATATTGACATTGAATGTTAAAGATCTTAGTTCTTTAGTCAAAAGACATACACTAGTCAGGTTCTGGTGGCTCACATCTGTAATCCTAGTTACTTAGGAGGCTGAGATCTGAGGATCGTGGTTCAAAGCAAGCCTGGGCAAGGAAGTCTGTGAGACTCTTACCACCAATTAACCACTGAAAACCTGGAAGTGGAGTGGTAGCTCAAAGTAGTAGAGCACTAGCCTTGAGCAAAAAGAGCTCAGAGAAAATGCCCAGGATGCGAGTTCAGCCCCCATGACTGAAAAATCGAACAAACAAAATCCTCAAAAAACATAATGGATACTTAGATCAAAAAACAGTAACTAAAACAAGATCTAACTCTTTGTTGCCTATAAGAAACACATGGCTTGGGGTAAACGAATGGGAAAAAAGACCTTCCAAGCAAATGGACTTCAAAAGTGTTTAGTATTAGCCATATTTATATCTGATACTATAGATTGCAAGCTAAAAATTAGTCTGAAGAAACAAAGTCGCTTCATATTTGTTGGGAGCCCTAAAGGGAGTCTCTCTGCATGATAAGCTTGACTATCTCGCTGGAACATCTCCAGGCTGTTTACAGAATCTGGTCCTTTCATCCTGCCCCAAACAAACACCAGGTAGCTGCTAAGGACCACCTTTTCACACTGCCCTAAGCAAACATCCTACAGCTGCCATGGCCAATGAATAGGCTTCCTTATTCTAAGCATATAAATACCCCTGTGTGAAAAATAAAAATTGGCAGCTTGATCAGAATCCTTGTCTTGCTGTCATTCTTCATGTCTCTTGTCCCTTCATTCCTTCTCGCTTAGGTTCACTGCCCTCACTGAAGTCCTGCGGGTCGGGACAATATTAATGAAGGTAATGATCCATGAAGAAAAATTATGATTGTTAATATATATGCACCAAATAGCTCACACTCAGATTTATTACATACTTCTGAACTTACAAACTTTGATAGATAATAACACCATAATAATAATGAGAGACTTCAGTATTTCACTTTCACAGATAGGTTATCCACACAAAAACATCAGTAAAGAAATCCTAGAATGGCAGCATTGAATGGCAGTGTAGACGAAATGAAATGATCAGACATCTACAGATATTACAACACAATACACATTCTTCTTGGCAGCTCATAAGACTTTCTAGAATATATAGCAAGTCTGAGAAAATATAAAAAAATTGAAATATTCTATCAGACCAAAATGGAATTAAACTAGATCTCAACAGAAAAAAGATACTACAGACAGTATTCAAACATAGACACCAAACATAATACCAAACCTCAAATTATCTTGAAGAAACAGGGTAAGCCGGGTGCTGGTGGCTCACGCCTGTATTCCTAGCTACTCAGAAGGCTGAGATCTGAGGATCACGGTTCAAAGCCAGCCTGGGCAGGAAAGTCCAAGAGACTCTTATCTCCAATAAAACCACTCGAAAACTGGAAGTGGCGCTGTAGTGCTTGCCTTGAGCTGAAGAGCGCAGGGACAGCGCCCAGGCCCCCCATGACTGACCAAAAAAAAAAAAAAAAGAACCATGGTAACAAAAACATGGTATTGGCACTGTATGTATGTATACTTTATAGGAAATCATGTCATTTACAGGAAAGTGAATGCAATTGGAGGACATTTGTTCAGAAAACAAAATATCACGTTTTTAGTTATATGAAAACTATATATATTGGCAAGAACAAAATATCCTAAATTTCTAAAATTCTGTATTTTCATACTGTTAGACCAAAAAGGCTACAGGTTCTTATCTTTTAAAAATATGCACACATAAGTGCTTTGCATTTTGTTTGCTTTTTTTGTTGTGCTGGGAATAAAACTCAGTTGAGCATGATTGACAAGCACTATCTATCTATCTATCTATCTATCTATCTATCTGTCAGTTGTGGGGCTTGAACTCTGGGTCTGGATGCTGTCCCTAAACTCTTCAGCTCAAGGCTAGCACTGTATCATTTGAGCCATTGTACCACTTCTGGTTTTCTGGTGGTTTTATTAGAGATAAGAGTTTCATGGCCTTTCTTGTCCGGGCTTGCTTTGATTGGTGATCCTCAGATCTCAGCCTCCTGAGTAGCTGAGTAGCTACCAGCACCCCGGCTAGGCAAGCACTATTCATAGCACTAACTACAATACAAGCCCTCTTTTCTTTTTAATTCTGATCAGAGATCTCAAACTGCTTTTCATAAATAAATAAATCACAAACTGCTTTTCATAAATAAATAGCATACACATTAATATACTGCTGAACCAAATTACAAAAGAGACTCAGAGACAAAGGTATAGTAGAGGGTGCATAATTTTTTTTTTTTAAGGATTTGACAATGAAGTGTCTTTTTATTCTCTTCCTCTGAAAACTTGCATGGAGAAATTAAACCAAGGAAAAGTAATACAACTTACAGGCCTCAGGGGTCATAAAGGAAAAACAGAATAAAATCAGGTATCCACTAATATGCTCAGACATTGCACATTTAGTGGTCCTGAATCAAAAATTAAGAATGGTTTCTAAAGGGATGGGGAAAACATCCACTAACCTTTACAAATTTAAATAGAGGGCAGCAGACATGCTTTACTTATGGTAGCAGTCATTCTCAATGTGATCAACGTAAATGTAGAATGGAGATGTTCTAAACACAGCTACGATTCAGCAAATCTTAAAACACACTAAAACCATGATTACATTGAAGGAAAATGCACAAATAGGGATTTTGAGGGTTTTTTTCATTTGAAGGTAATCTTAATGCTATTAAATTCACAAATATGCTAATTTAAATACCCAATCCTATGTATCTAAAACACACAATGCATACATACAAGTATCTATCCTCTCCACATGTCAGCGCCCATTCGTATCATGGTTTGGAAATGAGGAGAATAGATTCCCCTTAAACTGCAAGTCAGTAGGTGTTTCTTTACAGTTAACTTTAGCAAAATTCATACAAAACAGTAATTAACAATGATCTTTACTTGTTAACTCACAAGGAAACACCTTCAAAACTGCATTTTGTTAAAGTTTCTGTACTAAAATGTAGAAAAACTGAACTACACAAATATTGAAAAGTTAAAAATTCCTTAATTTTTTATTCCTGGTACCACTACCACAATTCACAGGGCAATATAGCTGATGTAATGAAAAGAAAAAGAAAAAGCTACAATAGATAAAAGACCTCAGGAATGTACATCTAATTGACACTACGTTGCATTAATCAATAGCTGCACTTTTTGCAAACTGTGGCTGTGACAGTCCTGAACAAGAAGGGTTTCCTGTTTAAGCTGCAGTAACTTTTCTGACTATGGATCATCGTTCCTTCTGTGGCAGATTTTTACAGTTCCTCTAAGGCATTTGGGATGACTGTCTCAAAGTAAACTGCAGCTTTCCTGACAACTCCTCGCTCTCTCTCCTGCTAACAATTGTAGCCCTTTTTCTGTTGTTTTTAAAACCTTCTACTACCATATCCACCACTTCCACCACCAGATCCATAACCACCACCATATGGACTGCCAGAGCTTCTTCCACCAAAACTGCCCCCTTTCACGGGTCCATAATTTGATTGCTGTTGTCCACTGTAATTTCCAAAACCATTATAGTTACCGCCACCAAATTTTCCTCCTTCATTGTAACCATCGTATCCTCCTCCACCACCCCCATATCCTCCATCTTGGTTTCCATAACCTGTTCCACCACCACCATAGCCTCCTCTACTACTATAACCAGGACGGCCACCATAGTTGCCACCATCACCTCCAAATCCATTGTATCCACCATCACCTCCTCCATAGCTACCTCTGCTGCCACCACCTCCACCACCATAGCCTCCTCTTCCACCAAAGTTTCCACCACGTCCAAAATTACCTCCACCACCTCCAAAGTTTCCTCCACGACCCATAATGTTGCCAGATCCACCTCCACGACCTCTTTGTGATCCAGCAGACTGCATCTCTTGTTTAGAAAGGGCCTTTTTCACTTCACAATTATGCCCATTAATAGTGTGGTATTTCTGAACAACAATTTTATCAACTGTATCATGATCATCAAAAGTTACAAAAGCAAATCCTCTCTTTTTTCCACTCTGCCGGTCTTCCATAACTTCTATGGTTTCAATCTTGCCATATTTTTCAAAGTAGTCTCTCAAATTATATTCTTCTGTATCTTCTTTAATACCACCAACAAAAATTTTCTTCACTGTTAGATGGGCTCCTGGCTTCACAGAATCCTCTCTAGAAGCCTCTCTTTGGTTCCACAACACGTCCATCAACCTTGTGGGATCTAGCACACATGGCTGCATCCACCTCTTCAACACAAGAATAAGTCACAAAACCGAAGCCCCTGGAACATTCTGTCTGAGGATCTCTCATTACCACACCATCTGTGAGTGTGCCCAATTTCTCAGAATGTCTCTCTGGGATGCTTTCTTCAAAGGGAGGGCACCCCAAGAACCAAGACTCCAAGCCAGCAGCTGCAATAAGCAAGAGGAGTTTATTTGGCTTTTGTGCAAATGGGCTCCCAGTCCAAGGCAGACTGGAAGCCCCAGCAGAGGTTACAGGCACTTTTAAAGACAAAAGCCACAGGATTAGCATAAGACCCCAGGTTCCCCAGGATTGGCTCAGTTTACTACACGGGGAAGTTTATAACACTCTTTGTAAAACAGTTGGCTCAGGGCAAGTCTAGGGGGAGCGGTCACCCTGGAGGGGAGTTTACATAGTTACAGGCTTGTGATTGATTAACATTTGGCCTAGTTTGCTGGGCTCACCAGATGGTCCTTATCTTGAGCCCCCTAAACCGAGAATTTTTACACAGGAATGCAGAGGAACACACTCTTTGTTCCTTATCTTGGGTCCCATTTGGCCACCTGGGGAATTTACTTGTTAGTTTTTTATTTATGACTACAGAGCTTGTCCCAGGGCCAACATCTAGACTCCGAAACTTTTTATTTATTTCCAGGGAGGGGAAGGGTCAGTGCTAGCGCAAGCAAGTTTACAGAAGCAAAACCAGCAGTTAGCAATTGTAAAATGTAACTCTAATTTTTAATCTTTCACTATCATCTGTAGTTTTGAAGCTCAGACCACCAATAGACAGTTTCCGCAGCTGCTCTGGTTCCTTTGGATCATGCCCCCCCCCCCCCCCCAGAGTCTGGCTGGGGGCGACCAGGCGGCGGTTTTACCTCCATTTTGAGACCGGACTCGCCTCTTCCAACTCGAGTTCAATATGGGACCGAGAGGAAGAGGCCGAGGGTGCATAATTTTGAAATATATTTTGAAAGGGTATAAATTTGATTGAAAGAGATGGTTTGCAGCTATGAAAATTGAACAAGGAAGCATGTTGAAATTGTTTTGGGAAGGTAGGAAGGGGAGAAGGGGAAAAGGAAATTGATATAAGGGGTGAGATTGATTGGGACATATTTTAAACATGTCTGGAAATATAGCAGGTGTGAGCTACTGGTGCCCTGCTCCTTTTTATTTGTATATGAAATTACTCTCCCTTCAAGAATGCTGATACAGTTAATTCCCCTCATTAGAAAATAAAGTTCTAGCTTTCTTTGTTTGTATGAGCTTTCTTCTTTTATGTATGTGTGGTACCAGGGCGTAAGGTTTGCAAAGTGGTGCTCTATGGCTTAAGCCACAACCCAGCACAGATGAATTTAACTTTAAAGACATTTTTACATGTAGCTATTACAGCCTTGACACTGAAGACTTTACCTGCTCAAGGAGAGTTCTCCATTAGACCTCCCTTGTACCAGATCCTCTTTATACATTCGTGTTCCATAGAAATACCAGTAGAGTGCCCCTGAATTGTTTTCCCCTAGAGGTTCTACACGAAGACTGTCTGCATCCAGACCCTTGGCAGAAAAGGAAGGAGGGTTGGGGAAAACAATGAACTAAATAAATGGAAGAAAACTTCAATACACGAACCTATCACCTATTTCAAAATGCCAAGTACAGGATATCATTTTTCCATCTGGGCAGATAAAACACACAATGGGATGGAGGTACCTTCTTCAAAGAACAAGATATAGAAATGCTTGAAATGTTCCCTACCCCAACCACGGCTCCCACCCCTCCAAAAACGGAGAATTCCAATGAATGGTCTGACTACCTGGCTTAGATTTACTTTATATGTACACAAAAGGTAGTGGGGGTAGGATAAGATGCTCTAAGGCTTTGTCCCATGTAATCCACTGTGGCATCTCAGTCAGAACCCACAGCAACATTCTGCTCCAGCTGAGACTCCCAATTTACCCCAGGGCCTGACCTAGGCTGGAGTCCTGAACGAAGACTACTTCTAAATGACACGACCAAGAAAGGACTAGAAGTCATCACCAGGTCTAATCCTGTATGATCCGGACACCTGCCAGCCAGGCATCCGTGGCTCATGTTTGTCATCCCAGCTACTCAGGAGGCTGAGGTCTGAGGATCACGACTCAAAGCCTGCCCAGGCAGGAAAAGCCATGAGCCTCTTCATCTCCAATTAACCACCAAAAAGCCAGAAGTGGAACTGTGGCTCAAGTAGTAAAGCATTAACCTTGAGCAAAACAAAAACAAAACAAAAAAGGGCTCAGGGACAATGTCCAGGCCCTAGTTCAAATTCCTACCACACCCCCCCCCCCCCAAAAAGATCCAAGAGCTCTTACGTCTAACTAACCACTAAGAGATAGAAACAGCACTGTGGCTCAAGTGGTAGAGCACTAGCCTTGAGCAAAAAAGCTTAGGGACAGTGTCTAGGCTCTGATTTCAAAGCTCCATTCTCAACTACTGGGTTTTTACTGCCCTAGAGAAAGGGCTTTCAAAAGGGAAGCACCTTGAGTAGATTGAAAACATCATCTGCATCTAGATGGTAATCACAGAGGTGGTGCAGAATCTCCACGCGGGTACAAAGAAGCAGGTCTTGGAAACTGGCTTCTCTCAGGGGGTTGGGTTTCCCCTCCTCAAGCTCCCAGCAGTAGTTGATAATGTCTTCCAGGTAACTGTGGAATGTCTGAGGCCTATCCATAAGGCCCAGACAAAAATACATGAATGTACACAAAGCTGTGGCTTGAGAGCTGACAAACTTATCAACGGCAACAAGGAGGATCTGACGGTCTTGGCTGCTTTATGTATTAGACCAACTACATGAAGTTCCAAAGAAGATAAACGTGTCCTAAGAGCTCCCCACGGAGAACTCTTAAAACACAGGCAGCAGCACACGCAAGTCAACAGCAAACTACGAAGTGGAGACACTGTCTAATCTTTTGTTCATCCTATTTATTTATTTATGCGTGCATGCGTACATGCCAGGCCTGGGGATTGAACTCAGGGCCTGGGCATGGTCCCTGAACTTCTTCTGCTCAAGGCTAGTGCTCTACTACTTGAGTCACAGTGCCATTTCTGGCCCTTTCTGTGTATGTGGTACTCAGGAATCGAAATGCATGCTAGGCAAGCACTCTACAACTGAGCCACATTCCGAGCCTCCAAATACTCTTAAAGATCCATTTTCTCTTTACTTTCCTATTCAAAATATTAGGAAAGACTACTGGCTGTAAGTTAGTATTGCGTGAGTAAAGAGACGAAGACCTACTTGAAGTTACCTGTTTCTTATAGCAAAGAAACCAAGACAGAGCAGTAGAAAGAGAATGAAAACAAGGATGAGTCAACTGCTTTCTAACACCCAAGGTTAGCCACTTGAGAGAAGTCAGCAAAGAGCTTTTCAGCCAGCTTCAGACAGAAGACACTTCCCTTCTATTGGCCAGCCCACAGACAGAGGCAGAGGGCTGGAGTACTGGCCGCTTTTAAGGGTCAGCTGGCTGGAACTGGCAGAATTCATGACTAGGCAAAGCAACTGATTTAACAGCTGCAATGTGTTTGGGATATCATAGAAAAAAGGCAGCTACTGACCTCTTAGAAGCACATGTCAGGGACATGAAAATGTATCCAGTCTCCTTACTAGGTAGTAATTAAGGCAAAGAACCATACACAATGCAGACTAAGTGAAAAGTAGAATCGCTTCCTTCCACACGCTTCTAGCATTTGTGAGGCTTAGCTAATGCATGCACATGATTGATGAGGCCATATTTAGCAGGAGTTCTTGTAAATCAGCAAGAGGTTGTATAAGATAATCTGAGGCCTGGGGTAGAGCGCAGCAGTGCACCATCCCCAGTACTGGAGCCACAGCCACTGACTGACAGTGTCTATCCTTTATTTGTGTGGGTAGATGTGAATCCTGAGGCTTGAACTCAGGACCTGGGGGTGCTGTCCTTGAGCTTTTTTGCTCAAAGCTAGGGCTCTACCACTTGATCCACAGTTCTACTTCTGGGACTTTTACTTGTTAATTGGAGATATAGAGTTTCACAGGTTCTTGCATAGGCTGGCTTGATCTGCAGATCTCAGACTCCTGAGTTACAGGTACCCAGCTTGAAAGTGTTTCTTCTTTAAGATCACAGAACCTAGGCCAAAATAGCTAACAGATATTTTGTTTTGTTTTGGATAGGACTTTACAATGTAGCTAAGCCTATGGATGAAATCTGAGGATCATGGTTCAAAGCCAGCCCAACAGACAACCTGAGATTCTTATCTAAAACAAAACAAAAACAGCAAAAAAAATCCTAGATGGAGGTATGGCTCAAGGCATACAGTACCAGCTGTGAGCTAATCTTAGGACCAACTCAAAAAATACTGAAATTGGAATTTTACAATAATAAATGGGGTGATTTGACAAGAATACCTAGAGAAGTTCTATAAACACCTAACAAGACATCACACAGGTGCTGCCCCGAGCTACATCACATGGCTGAGATGACCTGGGAACACCATGGTTTGAGGCCAGCCAAGCAACAAACACCAGAATTGGGCATTCCATGCCTGTCATCCCAATTCTGAGGAAGGCTAAGATCTGGAACAGTAGGGTTCCAAATCAAGAAAGCCAAAGGAAAAAAATCCTGGGACTTCTTATCTCAGCAGAAAATGCTAGCCCTAAATGCAGCGAGAAGACAACTTATAAGCAGCTAAATCTGGAAAAATCACTAAAAGAAAGGATGTGAAAATGATCCTTTTGTAGTATCACTGATTTTACACACAGGAAAAAAAATGTGAAATATATAGGAAAAAATATATTACGCTGACTTGAACTAAATGAAAGTTTTTTTGGAGGGAGGGAGGTCATGGGGCTTTAACTCAGAGACTGGGCAGTGGAGCTGTGGCTCAAAGAGGTAGAGTGCTACCTTTGGGGGGTAGGGTGGGAAACCACCTCAGAGACAGCACCCAAGCCCTGAGTTCAAGCCCCACAAATGACCAAACAAAGCAAAATTAAAAAAAGGCTGACCAAACCCCAAACGTTTATCTATGTTTGGTCTGCATCTGCATCTACATTTGGTATGCACAGGATATTGTGAGGGACAGCAGGAAGGTGAAGAGAGAGCCCCAGTCCAGCTGTGAGAAGTGATAGGTTGGTTACTACTGGAGGGATGACAGTGGAACAGACAATGAGAGATGAAAGGGAAGCATTTCAGAAGTACAGTCAATAGCTTGGCACCTACTTGTAGGTAAAGAAAAAAAAGACAAGAAAATTTAGGTTGAGTTTTAATTCTGTCTAAAAACAGAGCTAGATAAGTGTAAACAAAGAAAAGGCTAGATTGGGGTGGCAGTGATAACAAAGAATTACACTGGAGATAAAAGTCCTCTCAGTGTATACAGTGAGATGTAATCGTGTAGTGTTGTACAGACAGCTGTTCACACCCAACTGAACCTCAGCTGTTCACGTCCCATACTCTTGTGTAAGAATGAAAACATACGCAATCAGACGTGCTTCCCACAACTGTGGAAAGGCACCTACAGTGCCTGGCACGCACATGCACACTCACACACACACCTGCGCGCACACACACACACTGTGTGTATGTGAAGGATAAAAAGAGAACCTACTCTCACATAACACTGATCAAGAATGAAAGGTTGGGATGGGATTCGGCTCAGTGGAAGAACACTTGCCTGGCAAATGTAAGGCCCTGAGTTCAGTCCTCAGCTCTGGGGAGGGAGGGAGGGAGGGAGGGAGGGAGGGAGGGAGGGAGGGAGGGAGGGGAAGAAAGGAGGGAGGGAGGGCAAGGAAGGGAGGGAGGAAAGGAAGGAAGGAGAAAGAAAGAGGGAGGGAAGGAAGGAAGGGAGGGAGGGAGGGAGGGAGGGAGGGAGGGAGGGAGCGAGGGAGGGAGGGAGGGAGGGAGGGAAGGAAAAGAAAGGCAAGGTAAGGCTGGCAATTCAATGGAAGGACACTACAATGTTGATTCTGTCAGAATGCCACTGTGGGGGTGAACAAGGAGCCGGCAGTGGACACAGGCTGACAATAGAAAGGCACTTAGTGACACACAAGTCACCTCCAAGAATGAAATATTAAAACAGTGAAAATCAAGAACTCTAACAACAACAGATGCTGGAGGGGATGTGGACAGAAAGGAACCTTACTTCATTGTTGGTGGGAATGTAAACTTGTTCAACCACTTTGGAAAGCAGTATGGAGGTTCCTCAAAAGACTTCACATAGAACTCCCCTATGACCCAGCAATCCCACTTTTGGGCATTTACCCAAATGTTTACAAACAAGACCACACTAAAGCTACCAGCACAACTATGTTTATTGCAGCATTATTTACTATAGCTAAGATATGGAACCAACCCAGATGCCCCTCAGTAGATGAATGGATCAAGAAAATGTGGTATATATACACAATGGAATTCTATGCCTCCATCAGAAAGAATGACATTGCCCCATTTGTTAGGAAATGGAAAAACTTGGAAAAAATTATATTAAGTGAAGTAAGCCAGGCCCAAAGAAACATAGGTCCCATGGTTTCCCTTATTTGTAATATCTAGTATATGTAGGAGTCAAGCGGAAAAGGTCAGATAATGTGATGTCAGGAAAATGAACCCTTAGATGTGTATTTTAATGTTTTTTTCTTTCATGCATGTGTTTCTAACGCATTTATAAGATTATCTCTTTGTTGCTTTATATGTCCCTCCCCCACAGTATAACCCCTGCTTTCACTATATTTGATGTCAGTATAACTTGTGGAAGAGATGGGGAAAAACCAGTTGTTTAAGGATACAGATGGACCTGTTGCAACAATGAGAAGTACAAGTTGTCATGTCCAAAATGAGCTTTACAACGTGGGGGGGGGAGGGGGGAGGAGGAGAAGGATTGGGATTGGGGGGAAGGGGGGAGGCTGGGAAGGGATGTGAAGGGTAAACAAAGGAGGAGGCTGCAATGCTTGGTAAGAAATGTACGCATTATCCTGCCCATGTAATTGTAACTCCTCTGTACAGTATGTTTAAATTTAAAAAAAAAAAAAACTGTTTTTGTTTGCATTTGTTATGTGCAGGTCCTGGGGCTTAAATTCAAAAGTCTGGGCACTGTCCCCAACTTTTTTGCTTAAGGCTAGCACTCTACCACTTGAACCACAGCACCACTTCCAGTCGTTTTTGATGGTTAATAGATCTCATGAACTTTTCTTTCCAAACTGGCATCACACCGCGATCCTCAGATCTCAGCCTCCTGAGTAGCTAAGGATTATAGGCAAGAGCCACCAGCACCCAGACAAACCATGTTTTAAACTAATAAAATCCTATGCTTAGCTAGGTGCCAGTGGCTCACACACCTGTCATCCTACCTACCTACCTAGCAGGCTGAGATCCTCGGACCTCAGTCTGAAGTCGGCCAGAGGCAGGAAAGTCAATGAGACTCTCCAATAAATTACTCAGCAAAAGCCCGAAGAATCTCTGTGGCTCAAGTGGTAGAGCACGAGCCTTGAGCACAAAGAAGCTCAGGGAGCACGCCCAGGTCCTGAGTTCAAGCCCCAAGACCAGCCCAAAAATACATAAATATTTTTTTTTAATCCTGTGCTTAAATTCTGGTACTGACCAGTCCCTTCACAGAACAATTGGTCACAGATGTTCACCAAGCAAACAAACTGGACATTAGTAGCAACCATTCTGAAAAGATGTGTGTGACTGGAGATTCTCAGGAATGCCT